GGTTGTCGCTGGCCTCCTATAAAAATTAACGTAGTTTGTGCAAAATGTTGTGTAGCTATGAGAAAACAGAATTGAAATACAAAAAAAAACGGGATATAAAAGCGTACTTTTGCGCGATTGACAACGTACACCGGCAAGCTTCGATAATTTTTCGCGTAGTTCATCATCCGAACTGAAAAAAAGAAAAAATCTTCAGTAATAGCTATATTTTGCTAATGATAAAGCAGGTAACCAATCCAATCAAAGGATAAGGTAGAAAATGATGAAACAGAAAAATTAAGAAGTGTAAGGGGCAAGAGATGGTCCCTCGAATGTAAATTGGCAATATTTAAAATATCAAAAATCCGGTTTTTTGAATATGATGGTTAATGAGGGTGCTAATGCTACGAGCTAATCGGATGCTCGTATGGGCTCCAGATTTTCCGAGAAGCAGCGCCGATTCTTTGTGACGACGCCAGACTTCCTTGTTCGTGATATCCTGGCTTTGTCTGGGCCTTGTTTGTTACCCCCGCGAATCAGCATGTATGATCGGGGCCTTCGTTTTGTTATATAAGCGAGCCTTAATTCAGAATAAACACAGTTTAACACCAGTACCAGTTCAACACCGAACCAACGACGCGGCACGACCTTCCCCTCCTCCCCCCCCCCTCTTCTCCCACGACTACATACATACATACATACGTACATACATACACACACACACACACACACACATACACACACATCGTCACGCGCTTCACTCCTCACACAACACAGACTCCCTTGGCCCCTTATTATAAGACGTCTTACCTCTCGCTGTCCCTCTGTTCACCATCGCTATACCAGCCACCACGATCGTCCAGGTAATAATCCTTCTCGAGTGCTTCCAGTGGCTCCAAGCGTTCACCACTCATCACGCAAAACTGCAACACAGGAATTATTATAATGACTGCAAATCTGACCGAGAAAGTGTTGCTCTTGGCTCTCATGGAACGAATTCGAGAAGTGTCGACCGTTAAGATATTCGAATGTGCAGAACATAAAAAAATAACAAACCGCACCAGACAAACCGATGCGATCATGCACTTTGTGCAATTCAGCCCATCGAATGATTGCCTATTAATGATTTTCACTGCTTTGTACTTCAGTCTGTGCAAAAATAGTTAAAACGCTGAAAAACAGTTAAAAATTACACGCACCGGTGCATGAAAGCTGAATTTGAAACCTTGAAAGGTGAATATCCTTCCGTGATCCCCGAGATCATAATTTATCCGCCACAATTTTCACGAGGCCGTGATACCCGAGAACGCTGAATTTGAATTTTCAAGGTCGTACGTGGGCAAGGAGTCATTAACCTGAAATTTCAGCTTCGTAGACTTTGGGGTCCCCGGGATAATTTATCCGTCAAAATTTTCATGGGGCCGGACATGTTTATCCGCGGGCAGGGGAAAGCTGAATTTAAATTTTCCGGGCAGCACATGAGCGGAGCACGGTGTCCTAAATTTCTGGCTTCATAGCTTTTGTGGTTTCCGAGTTCTACGGACATACACAGACAACCCTATGAAAATACGCGTTATGTACTGCTGTTACACAGCGAAAAACGTATAAGAAAACCCTGAGCTTCCAGTGCAGAGAGCATATGATGGTCCTTGAAATGACCTGTTTTCTCCTCGTATTACTCTTTCAGGTCACCACTAGGCTGACCAATAAGTGATGCAGCAGTGACCAAACTAACTAAAGGGGAATTTTTTAATCTCGGTCCCACATTTATTTTTCGGCCGAGAGAGATGTAGCTATTAACTTGTAATTCATGTATATCCAGGAAGGAA